CACTGGCACATGCATGTCCAGTGTATGTGAAGGGTCATGTGATATGCCTTTTCAGGTGTGTTAGTATGGACAAAGATTATTTCTGAATCAGCGCTAAAACGCTCATGTGTATGGAGTTCGTTTTTGTTTCATAATGTGTTTTAAAATGAAAACGTGTTAGCGTGGATGCCGCCTAACATGAGCCCTAGAGATGCATACACACCTCATCAATGATTGTTTTTTGTTAACTTTTTTTTAAGAAAAACCAAGGCTAGTAAATAATTGTTTGTGTGATGTTTAGGCAACATTTATAAAAAAAAAAATTGTTAAAAGTGTGTCTCAGTAATAAATAGAAATGTATGTCAGCTGACCACTTTACTATTATACTATACTATAGTGCTAACATAATAACTTCTCAAACTCCACATAGATTGAACATTTCTATTTGATTTAGTCGAGACACCCAAGGTGCGTGTTTAAAAACGCAGTCAGCTGTTCACTGCCATGAATCCCAGACAGGAGGAACTCAAACATGGCCACCGCAGAGTTGGCCATGCTGTCAGAGATCCATCCTTGCCTCACTCTTCCTCCTTTACCTCATTCCACCTCTCCTTCCTGTTTTCCCTCTTGAGCAGAGAAATTCTACTCTGCACTAATCACTTACCTCCTTCCTTCATTGCCCCCTACTCTCTGCTGGTGAAACACTACTCTGGGCTAAATTTAGCACCAGTGTGATCCAATATTCCTCATTACACTTCCCACACCTCTCTCCCTCTCTCTCACCATCAGTGTACCTTTCAATGGCTCAACATATTCCTCAGTTTCTCCTATGTCTCTCTGTCCTTCCAGCTGTCTTTTAGTCCCTCAAGGGCATACAGAGAGGAAGTATAAACTGACCAACCCTGCTCAAAAGATTTTGGTAACAGAGGGGTTAAACTGAGATTCTCCGGGCTTTCGTGGTAAATGGAAGGACTTGCATTTGTGTAGCGCCTCTCCACTCTTCAAAGTGCTTTACACTACATGCCACGTCCACCCATTCCCACACATATTCACACACTAGTGGCAGAGGCTACCATACAAAGTGCCACCTGCTCATTAGTCAAACATGCACATGCACTCACACACTCACGGCCCAGTATCTTGCACAAGAATACTTCATCAAGCAGACTTTATTAGTGGATGACCCACTCTACCTCCTGAGCCACCACAACTGCCATCACCTGATGTTATCACCTTTTGAAAACTGCCAACATCAGTAAACACAAAATAACCCGCTGAAATTTAAAAAAGTCTGCATATTGTAGAAAAAGGTTTTTACTCTTGGCTGGGGTGTAAAAGTCGATGTATTTATTAAAAGCAAAATGCAACAAAGTGAATTGGAAACACTTTGAAAATAAATCATTGTCGCCTCACACTCCAGTGAAAATTGTGGCAGATGAAAACATCAGATCTGTGTGGAGTGATGAGGAGACTGTAACATTCCTCAGATTAGATACTAGTTTAAATGGTGCCCACTACACCAAGTCAGTTAGTGCAACTATTAACTACTATGTCATGAGTCAAACTATACTGTCAACTATCAAATTAATCGCCAACCTATCTGATAATTGAATAACTGGTTTGAGTATTTTTTGGGGGGGAATATTTTCTGATTTCCGTTAAATGTAAGTATTTTGTGGTTTCTTTACTTCTCTGTAACAGGTAAACTGTCGTATAAGTGGGTTGTGGACAAAACAAGACATTGAGAAAGTCATCTTGGCTTTCGGAAACACTGATTAACATATTTCACATTTTATAAACCAAACAATTGATCAGTTTATCATGAAAAAAATCAGCTGATTAATCAAAAGTGGAAATAACCATTAGTTGCAGCCCTAATCTCCAACTACTCCTAATATTTGCATAACAGTGGTGGATGGAAATGCATATCACTGTCCACCTGATACCATTGATTCAACAATCTACCACCCACTTAATAACTACCTTTCTTTGGATGTGAAGCAAATCTAGCAGCCACTTGCATATTTTACCAGCCACCAATGTCCAAGCCCAAAATATTAATTTGTATTTTCTTTTGCAGATTTTCTGGAAATTCCTGAAAAATTTGTGCTACATGTAAATGGAGATATGGTGCCTGTTTCATTATTATTTTGACAAAATGTCAACAGTCTTGCACTGGCTGGATTCCCCCTGCTTTTAAACATATTTAGGGAAAATTATTGCTGATGTAGTGATGGAGACAGGGTGATGATATTTTTTCCAAAGTGGATCATATCACATGGTGAGAATGAGCTCCACTGAACGTTATTTGTGGGCCCTCTGATGTCCACATACCTCCACACAGAGCTACATGTGTACAGCTGAATGTGAGTGCATGCCATTATAAGCCATCATATGAAGTCAAACCTAATGCATATGAAGGTCTTCTAAAATAGAGAAGGACTTAACTCCATGCATTCTGCACATGACTGCCAACTCTGGCAACGTGCCCTGCCTTTGTATCCCATTGCAGTAGGATTATTATTATTATGTGTATTTACTTAACTGTGTTTTCTTGATGTTTCAAATTCAGCTATCCTTATTAACTATGCAGTGATTAGAACTACAGATACACAATAATATTGGTAGCCAGTAATGGCTTAAAAATGAATCAGAATTGGCCGCCATGCTTTTTACTTAATTTGTGCAATGAATGAATATCACATACATTGAAAAGCATGCTATTTCATGTCTCCATCCGCTGGTGGGCGTCACGATAAGAGTATGCATGCATAATATGAAGTTAAATCCACTACAGAAGGGACTTGACGATCACTAAAATTAGGTGGGGAAAAAAGTGTAGATATCGATATATCGATATTGGATATCGGTCAAATGAGTTGTTACATACTGGAATATCAGATATTGGTAAAAAATCCAATGTCATGCATCTCTATTTAGAACACACAACATACACAGAGAAGATATACAAAAAACACACTTAGAATTATGGTTGCAAAATATATTGATACAATATAGATATGCTGATATGGATATTGTCTTAGATTTTGTATAATGTAATATCTTAGGTGTTGTCTTTTCCTAGTGTTAAAGGCTGCATTACAATAAAGTGGGGTCATTTTCCAAATTTACCAGATTGTTCTAGCTGTTTTACGCATTATCGACCTTTAGCCACATTACTATAATTATTTATCAGAAATCTCATTGTGTAAATATTCTGTGAAAGCAGCAATAGTTAACCCTACAGTAGTCGCAATACTGAAAATAAGGTAACCAAAAAATAATAATCATGTTAAAACAAGTGACACAACACTCCTGTTTATAGCCCTGCTTTCTTGGATGACAGTGTAAACATAAGCCTGCATGGCCCTTCAAAAATGCATTCACACACATGCACAGGTTGCATGACTTTGCACTTCCTGAACTTCCTACTCATAGGCATAGGGTTTCAACAACCATTCAATTCTGCAGGTCACCATATTCACCAGGACTCACATACCAGCCAACCAACACTGCAGGGGCTCTGCAGCTGAATGTGTTTCAGAGTGTAAACACTGCTTTTGTATTTCTCAAAAGAACTTAATCAGATTGCTAAGATGCAAAATATTTCTTGAATTAAGCTTCAATTATTTTTCAGTTTTCAGTGTGCTGCTACAACATTAAGCCACATAGTTTTATTTGAGACATAAATATAGTCCAATCATGGACAGCACAGTGGTGTGGTGGTTAGCACAGCAAGAGGGTTCCTGGCGCTTCTGTGCAGAGTTTGCATGTTCTCCTGTGTCAGCGTGGGTTTTCTGTAGGTACTTCGGCTTCCTCCCGTAGTCCAAAGACATGCAGGTTAAATGGTGACTCTAAATTGTCTGTAGGTGTGAATGTGAGCGTGAATGGTTGTCTGTCTCTATGTGTCAGCCCTGTGATAGTCTGGTGACCTGTCCAGGGTGTACTCTGCCTCTCACCCAAAGTCAGCTGGGATAGACTCCAGCATTTTTTTTCACTTTTCCTCTGTTAGTAGAGGCTAATTTTATGCTCCGTACCAGAGGACCCTTTTTAACAAAAGCTTAGTACCTACAACAATAAATTATTTCAGGCTTATTCCATCACATTGCCAAACAACCTCCAAGTGTTTCTATTTTTCTGGCCTCTCAATGTACATCCCCAAACATCTGAGAACATTCAGTCTTCTATAAGGGAACATCCCAAGGCCATGATGATAATCCTCCAGATGTTCAGACACCCTTCACACCACAAAACATACATGTTACTGCATGAATGGTGAAGATTAGCACCTATGCTAATGCATGATCGGGTTTCCTTTTTTATGAACACAGATGGACAAGCACACAAATGAACACAAAATCACACACACTGAGGTATTAACACAAACACACACATGCAAAAATATAGATGCACACACATTGTAGATGGACCAAGATTTACATGGAATGACACATACTGTGCACACACAACATACTGTGTCACATATCACAAAAGTAATTCCTAGATGTGTTAAGACCAGCGGGGCTTAGGAAACGAGGCGCAGAAAGGGTAGCAAACAGGTGGCCAGTCGGGAAAGAAAGAAACAGAAAGACAGCGACAGTGTGTGTGCGTGTGTGTGTGTGTGTGTGTGTGTGCGCTTGTATACGTGCATGCCAAGATCAGGGGTGAAGGAGGAGCACAGTGTCTATGCACCTGTTGCGTGACTCTGTTGTTATACATCAGCTAATTGGTCTTCACCATGTCCAGAACTCACACACACACATCAGACACAATGTGGTTCATTCACAGGCACACACAATAAGTTAGACAAGCTCCATCAGTGCACGTGTAGTTTGCACTGCCAACACAGGTGCGTCATGCAAGAATGACAGGAGTGATTTAGGGGTGATTTTAAGTGCGGACAAACAACAGAGAGGAATTAGGGTGACGGAGGCTCACGTAGAGTCAAACAGATGGATGCAGACGGACAGAAAGACCTACAGATAGAGAGAGAATAAGAGGCACAAGACAGGGACACTCACCAGGGTCTGCTTGTATCTCAGAGCCTTCCTTTCCGATGCATCTGCGGCCATTGACACACTGTCACTGACCCAAAAATAAACCCACCCGCTCACCGTCTGTCTCAGCATTACCAGGACCGCTCTGGACACCCAGCCAGGACACTCGCGCAAACACACACACACACACACACACACACACACATAAACTGCATTACCACACTGGGATAGACATACACACGCATGTACTCCCTACACAAACACACACACACACTCACTCTCTCTCTCACACACATATTCTGACATGGTGCAAACTAGCTCCAGCTGGGGTTACCCTCTCATGCCTCAAGCTATCTGCCAGCCCCTGTGAAGTTCAGTCAGCAGTGGACAAAGACTAAATGTCAGAAATTTCATAGTGATTCAACTTACTGTACCAATTTTTTTTTTTTTTTTGCTCAACATCTAAAGAGACATGGGTAGCTTTGTTGGTGTTACGCAGTACTCAGGCATACACTGGTTATTCCATCCTAAGTCCCGCCCCTTTTTGCTCAGTGCTCCAGTAGTCGAGCAAGCTTGCAACACAGTAGAACCTGAATCAGCTCTTCCCTTTCCTGTTAAACTTATATACTGTATGCTATGTGCTAGGCTCATCTATGTTGAAAAGAAAACCAGATTTTGAAGATGGTTAAAATTTGTATCATCATGTCATCTAGTGATCAGGTGATATGGTTTCTTGGTTTTCACCTGGTTGGCCCAGATTTGATTCTAGCCATAAGAAAAGGCGGTGCAATGACGTAACAAGGCAGATCCAATAGTGTTGTCAAGGATGTTTGCTTCCCTACTGTGTTCTCTATGACATCACCCAATAGATTTTCAGTGGTCAAGATTACTGGTTTTAGCCCAGGAATAATTCCTAGCATGGGAAAGGATGGTACAACATTTCTGGATGTGCTGTATGCCGCTTTAAATGCAGACATGCTTCCTGTGTGGTCCATGTCTTATATCATCCTAAGTGACTGTTTGCTGACAGACACTATTATACCGAGGGTGGACAAATTAGATTCCGCCAAACATTAAAAATAAGTAGGGATGCATGATATATATTGGACTGATAAATTATTGGCCGATAATGGGACATTTTTATAATAAGGCATTATTCCAATAATTAAGGTTACTATTATATATATATAGGTTATTTATAGGTTATTTATTACCAATAAATAGCGCAGATAATATGAAGCCAGACTGCTTTCACTGACTTAACAAGGACAAACCGTCACAGTGGGTGGTTGTACATGTACCTTTAAACTGGGTTTGCGAGCTGCCAATTAACAGAGAAGGAGAATAACAACAACTGCAGCACGCTGTCTAGAGGCTGAAACATGATTTGGTTTGCCAAAGCAAGGTTTACAGGTTTGACAGATTTTTGTCTGTTTTGCTGTGACAGTCCTATGGAGGAAACCAGAAACAGAAGGTTTGCATAACAATACAGTGCAGTTTCATAGTCTTCCTGAATGAAACTTTCAGCAGACAAACGGCTCACAAACACCGGCTGATGTGAGAATTAAAACTGTGGCCTTATTGGATGATTGTACAAGGAGCCACAAGATCACTACAATGACGTTTAGCACAAAAGCTGCAAATGTCACATTCTCATGTTTCTTGTGTTTCCTGTTTTATTTTGAAACTCACGTCTTGTCTCGTTTCAGGTCTCTACACTTCCTGCTCCCCTGTGTTTCCCGCCTGCTTGATTACCTACACCTGTCCTAATGTGTCACACCTGTGTCTCGTTGTCTCCCCTATTTAGTCTCTGTGTTTCCCTTTGTCCGTGCCAGTTCGGTTGTACTTTGAGTCAGCGTTCCAGCCGTTTCTTTGTTAGTTTGTTTGTCTTGTGATAGTGACCCTCTTTTTAGATTTCTGGATTTTGTCTTTGCCTGTCATTTTTGGATACCTTTGCTTGAGTGACTGACCTCTGTGCACCGAACCTAGCCTGAAATGAAAGGACATTGTTTTGAACTTTGCTCCGTTCCTGAGTCTGCATTTGAGTCTCTTTTGGTTCAGTGTGATAGCAAATACATGAAACGGTAAATGTTTAAGTGCCCATTAGAGTTGTACCGATACCAGTATCGGAAATGCCTCCGATACTGCCTTGCGGTATCGGCGAGTACAGCCTATGACCAATCTGGTACCACGTAATGCCTCATCTCATTATACATATGCACGCTATAGGCAAACGAAATGGAAACAGAGCGGAGTTTAAAAAGCATTCTACTGTAGCCTTTAAAATATCTTTTTTACCAAATTGTGTGGCTGCACTTTAACCCGTGTCTTGATCTGTGTCAACACTGGATAATAATAATAAAAAAGGTTTTATGGCATTCATTCTACTATTATGTATTTATTTTTTAATATTTTACATAGAGTTTTAGGAGTAGAGACATACAACAATTCATATCCCATCCATTTTTATTTCACGCGCTGGTATCTGATGGTACTCGATATTGGCAGATACCTAAAGTTCAGGGATTGGAATTGGTATCGGGAAGGAAAAAGTGGTATCGGTATCTCTAGTGCCCATATATGTGTGGGTTGGCGATATGGCCCTAAAATGATATCACAATTTAAGGTTTTTTTGCAATAATGATATTCTTGACAATATA